AGAACCCACAGAGGTTTTCCAATTGTCCAGCACACCCTCAGTCCTGAGGCTCTGGGCCTCTTAACCTCCTAGTCACTACATCTTTGGCAGCCAAGCTGCTTTACCCTATTCTCCATACCCAAGGGGAAAAGCCCATACATGATACCCAATACTTTAATACACTAAGTAAAATCTCAAACACCTGCCACCCTGGCTTCTGCTTGAGATTTCTCTCCTCCATCCCTTTTTGTTTGACCCCATGAATGGCAAACCTAGTTTAAAAAGTAAATCTAAAATAACTCAACCATGAAAATGGGAATGCCTATGCTTTTCATGTTTTGTTTTTTCCCTCTGTAGAGAGATGCAAATGTGGTGGTTGAAATGATATCTATTAGAAGCCTGGAACAAATAATCATTTATGGCTACAACTGAAACCTCAACTCTATACCCTCAGAAAGAACCCTCCCTGGTTTCCAAGCTCAAGCAGGTCCCAGTTGGGTACGCTGTAACTTGATCTTATCATAGGCAATAAGCAGCTATCACACAAGATACGTCAAGAAGATAGGATTTTTTGAAAGAATATTAGATAGGGAAATGCTCTTATTTCTCACTCATCCATATACACTGGCACATAGGAAACTACAAAACAAGTCATCAGTCACCCCAAATTCTCTATAGACAACAGGGTGGTTTTTTTTTTTTAAGATTTTATTTATTTATTTTGACACAGAGAAAGAGACAGCAAGAGAGGGAACACAAGCAGGGGGAGTGCGAGAGGGAGAAGCAGGCTTCCCACTGAGCAGGGAGCCCGACGTGGGGCTCGATCCCAGGACCCTGGGATCACGACCTGAGCCGAAGGCAGACACTTAACGAATGAGCCACCCAGGCGCCCCGACAGCAGGGTTTTAAATGGGGCTTTTTTCAGGGAACCTTTGTGACCATGTTCCCATGATGCCTATTTCTTTCCCACTATAACACTCAGCACACAGCATGAGTGGTGCTTATTTTAAGTCCACCTTCCCCACCAGACTGTACACACCATGAAGACAGGAATCATCTGCCCTACTTAACCACTATATCCTTGGGACACTGCACAGTGTTGAGTATGGAAGAAACTTATTTATTTTATTTGAGAGAGAGAGAGCACAAGAGGGGGTAGGGTCAGAGGGAGAAGCAGACTCCCTGCTGAGCAGGGAGCCCAATGTGGGACTCGATCCCAGGACCCCAGGATCATGACCTGAGCCGAAGGCAGTCACTTAACCGACTGAGCCACCCAGGCGCCCGAGTATGGAAGAAACTTCTGAAATTCGTTGAATGAACTGTCCAAAGAAATTAAACAGGATAAATATTTCTTTCTGCTTTTCTTCTTTACTTGCCCTCACTCATCCCAGACTATTTTCAGCTCAACATCACAGTGGCATCAATTGGGACATGGCTCAGTCTTTTCTCTTTAAAGATCAGAGAGACCTTGGAGAAACTGAACAGACAGGAATTGGGAGGTATACAATCAGGGCTAGGCCGTGTCAGAAACTTGCAGTTGGGAGGAACAGAAACCCAGTGGAGTGAATGCAAGCACTAATGGACATATCTCTTGAATTCAAAGGCAGGAGCAGAGCCAGGCTTCTGGAGATCAGGGGGAGGAGGACAAAAACCTCCAGGCATCACCTGCTTAGGTTTCTCTCCCTCTAGAGCCAAGCGGTCCTTCCTCTCTGACTCATACTTCCTTTTAAGTGAATCAGCTTTCACTGTTTCTTTACGCACTTAAATACCTCACAGCTCTAAGGTTTACATGTTCCCAGTTCAAGGGACCAGCTGAGGCTGAAACGAGCACTTCCTACTTCAAATTCTAAATTCTGGGAAAATCAGGTTGGCTCAGGAGCCAATAGCCTTAACCAGGCAAGTCTGGCCTCTCCTGGTTCCCTCCTAAAGGGGAAGCGGGAGCTTCTCAGAAAACACAGGTAAGAGGGCACACACCCAAAGCAGGTGTGTTTTTGATCATGAGGTGTCTGCTCCTTATCCTTCTCTTGTCTACCACACCCTAAATTCATGCAGCCTTCTCACATTTACTCGCCTTTCAGGCTCACTCCCAACCATCACACTTAGCCTTCACCATTCATTCCTTCTCATCTAATGCCTTCTGCCTCTTCCCCTCCATGAAACTTCAAATTCTTCTCAACGCTACAAAACATTACTATCCTACCGTGAACATGACAAATATTATATTAAAAGGTATTTTAATAAACAAAATAAACAAATAAGCCATATATTACATGTATAAGATATTTTCTTTATGTTCTCTTCTGGATTTGGAGTACTACTTATTATATACCACTATAAATGCATCATATGGTCACATCTGCCTTGTGATGTCCATGTCATAGCCTCCAGATATACTACTGCATCTTTCTACTTATTTTTAACTAATACCACAAAACCGTTATTTAAGGATAAGACTACGTAATCTCTTAACAAAACACCTTTCAATAGAAAGAAATGCAAAACAATCCTTTGGAAATTCAAAGCTATTTCAGGTTTTCTGACTGTCCAAAAATATAGCATAATTCCTTATGCAATAAGATCCTGCCTCTCTCAAGTTAAACAAAACTGACTCTTGCTCAAAGATCAGCTACTATGTTATCTGAATGCATTCAATTCCTAGGAACATAAAAGCCAAGGCTATGTGAAGAACATAGCCTTCTGTTCTTTTACGTCTCTGTGGTAGTGGTAGGCATCCAACAATGAAAGATTATGGAAATCACCTTGACCATACGCACCTTATTCATCTACAAACCCTGGCAACTAGCTCAGTGGCCTGTATACAGCAAGTGCGCAATGAATGTTTGATCCACTAGAATGTATACTTATAATGTATACTTAAATCTATGTATTTATAAATCAATACTATATATGCATGAGGCTTTCTATGTGTTCATATGAATATGTGTAAATAGATCAGCGTGTTGCCTATAATGCCAGAAGACAATCTTCTCAAACTTTAAAGTACATTCAAATCACCTAGGGATCTTATTAAAAATGCAGATTCTGATTCAGTAGATCTAGCGTGGAACCCAGTATCTGCATTTCTAGTAAGTTTTCACGTGACCCTAAAGCAGCTGGTCGAAACACATTTTAATAGCAAAGTAATGCCTTTTTCACTCCCTTTGGTAGAAGGCCACAGGCAAAATATGCAAATAAGTCAAGGGTACTCCTTCTCAAAGACTGTGTTCAATCACTAGGAAAATGTCCAGTGATGTTCTCGGCACTCTTCTTTATTATCAGATTCAAGTCTGCAATAAGTATTTGTGTATTGAGCACTTCTGCCTGGTGTAGGAGCTACAGCAACCTATAGTTATTCATACAGCTTCATAAATGATAAAAATGCAACCAGAGGCTTCTTTGTATTCTCAGTGATATTCAAATAAAGAGAACATCATTCTCTGATGTTCGTGGATATGTGTGTATGGGGAAGGGGGCAGAGAAGCAATTGTTTAGGATCCTGTGTCTCCATGAGGTTCCTATTTGTGTTCATCTCAAGAAGATTCCTTGCTCACCATCCCCGAGCTCTCATCATTCTGCTCAGATCTGACTCTCCTCTGTCTTCATGATCATGGGAGTGACAGATACCCCGACCTTCCCCACCTCCTCTAGTTAGATATCGTGTTAAGGTTGATGAAAAAGCGAGATCACGGATAAGACTGGTTATATCACTCAAAGATCAGGAAAAACAGTCCATCAGAGAATTCCTTTCCCTTTTCTTTTACCTGAGCCCTTATCACTGCCACAGCTTAAAGAGAAAGTTCACTTCGGCCTTTTGCTATTGAATGCCGTCTGCTGGAGGCACAACAGGTCAGGGGCCAATATAAGAATCACAAGAATTTTCTTCTTCCCTAATGCAGGATTGACCACTTGGTTCAGCTTCGTGGTTATCATTTATTTACTATAAAATTCTAAAGACACGCAAAACCTCAAAGATAATTTGAAAATCACAGAAAGCCATTATATCCTTAATAATTCATTTGTTCATCAACAAGCAAAATTGCTCTTTAAGTTATCACAGTATTCTGTTGCCAGAGGCATAAACTTAATCACATCTACAATTTAGCATGAATTTATTTCGGTTGTACACTGTACATGTACTTCCCAAATCAGGATACTCATATCAAGGGAAGAGGTGCACACTGCAGCAAGCCAGAGGGTACCCGGGCCCAAACAACGGGATTTTTCTAGGGTATCAATTTTAATTAAGATTTGAAGGAAGGGGAGTCAGGGAAATGTTTACTAATATAACTAATAATGAATTTAAATAATTATCTTATACTCAAATAAACATGGAATAGGATGCCCAACCTTCATTAATTTTTAACAATAAAACACCAGACTAAAATGAAATTTCCTATTTTGAGGAGCCAGCTCTTCTCTCCCTGTAGGAGAACTTCTGCCAGCACACCAATCTAAGAATCAGTCATATGTATTTTTTTTAAATATATTTTAAAGTTTAGCTATTTATCAGTACAAGGACATATTTCTCATATAAGAGCTTGAGGAAATGAGATTGACCTCCAATTAGAATGTTTCAATCTTAAGGAAATCCTTGTGAGAACTAAATCATCAAGCTGACTGTCTTGTATTTGAATGACATAACATAACAATAACGCAAGAACAAACTTACTTCACAAATGTAATCGCCGGGCAAAATTTTAAATGTTGAAGGAAGTACTCCAGAAAAAGTTAAACAAAAAGTTGGAAAAGAGGGAGACAGCTGTAATCAGAGAGCCTGTGTGCTGTAGTCCTTCTTCCATTAATCTTATTCAGAAACTATGAATATATAGTCAATGTCAGAACAATTTTCTTATTTTACATACTGAGAGCTAAAATGATTGAATATGGTACTTTCCATTATAATGATAATCCCAACCCTCAGACATTCCTACTCAAGAAGAAAATACAGAGAAGGCAATCTGGAAAGGAAGGGGAGGTGGGGTCCATGCCTGATTTTTAAAGACCGAGATCCAGATACTTACAAGGCATCACTTGGTATATGCTTGGCCAATATTGTCCGCTGTCTCTCTTTAGCCATACACGAACGGTCCTGCAAAAGGAAAAAATATGCGTGTTAAATCACAGCGTTTTCAGTCATGGGAAAATGTTGATGGACAGAAACCAAACCTCTTTTAACTTTAACTATATACATCTTTTTTTTTTTAACTTTTTTTTTTAAAGATTTTATTTATTTATTTGACAGAGAGAGAGAGAGAGAGAGAGAGAGAGAGACAGCGAGAGAGGGAACACAAGCAGGGGGAGTGGGAGAGGGAGAAGCAGGCTTCCTGTCGAGCAGGGAGCCCGATGAAGGGCTCAATCCCAGGACCCTGGGACCATGACCTGAGCCGAAGGCAGCTCACTCAACGACCGAGCCACCCAGGCGCCCTAACTATATACATCTTAACTATACATATTTTATATACATATAGATCTCAACTATATTTACTTATATATAAATATATATATGCATACCACTTATGCCTCTTTATAGATTGTATATTCCTTAAATTTAAGCCTTGTGTACACTTAGAATTACATGACTCTTGAAGTATTATCCTCACATATGTCTACATACACACATGCAACAGTGAAAGTGTTTGAAAATTACTACTCTTGTTGTTTTGCGTGTCCAAGTTTGTGACCTTTGCCTTAGTCTGCTGGAAGCATTCACCTGTCTGGGGAGTTATTAGGTTTTACTAGTAAAGGAAGTGTGAAGAGATAAAAGGAAGCATCTTACACAGAAGGGTTACACAGTAAATCCATAGTCTCACAGGCCAGGTCATTGCCCTGAGAGAAGGTTTTTCCAGTCATGGTCAGGTAACGTAAACTTTGAGACTCAGATTCCTGAGCTAGAAGGCTGACCAATGGGCCCAGATGGAACCTGGAAATCCTGCAGCAAAGGCTGTGGATGAAGTTCCGGGCCAGCAGGCCCAGATACAGACATGGAAGAGACCCAGAGGAGCTCAGAGAGAAGGAGTCAGAGAGAAAATGAAGCAGTCAGGGAGCACCACTAAGTTCTCACCAACCAGAAAGGCCCCACCATGAGTTACACTAGCCATGACATCATCTGCACAGGCGAGCAAGGCAAACACATCTAGAAGGTAATGGAACATTCTTCTAGAGGCCAAAGGAAGTAGCAGAAATCAAACCAAGGGAAATAAGCAGTTCCCCACTGGTGGGAGATGATATAGGCCACATCCCTCACCCCAAACACTTAAATCATCCAGGGTAAAAAGCAGACAAAGACTGAGTATCTTTATCCCACACTATTTAAGTCATTGTACTAGACCAAGTTTTAAATTGTATTGGATTTTTCCCCCTAACTAATCAGTGGGTCTCCTCCTGTATGGAGTAGAAAGAGAAAAACTAGACTAACTACAGACACAATAAAGAAATACCATTTTCTCCGCACAGCCGATTCTTGCCATTTGCAACAACCCGGATGGACTGAGAGGATATAGGTGAAGTCAGTCAGTCAGAGAGATAAATACCGTAAGATTTCACTCATATGTGGAATTCAAGAAATAACAGACTCTTAAAGATAGAAAACAAACTGATAGTTGCCAGAGGGGAGGTGGGTGGGGGGATGGGTGAAACAGGTAAAGGGGATTAAGAGCACACTTGTCCTGATGAGCACTGAGTATACAGAATTGTTGAATCACTACATTGTGCACCTGAAACTAATACAACACTGTATGTTAACTACACTGGAACTTAAAAAATTAATAAATTTTTTAAAAAAGAAAAAAATAACAGCACAATTCACAATGGCCAATAGGTATAAACAACCCAAATGTCTATCAGCAGATGAATGGATAAACAAATTGTGTATATATAATACTATCAGCCATGAAAAGGAGTGAAGTATTGATACATCTTAAACTTGTATGAACCTCAAAAACATTACACTAAGTAAAAGCAGCCAGACAAAAAAGGTCACATATTGTTTGATTTTTTTTTTTAAATGAAATGTCCAAACTAGACAAATCCATAGGGACAGAAAGATCAGAGGTTGTCAGGGGATGAGGGTGGGGGCACAAGGGGAGTAATTACTCAGTGGGTAATGGTGTGTTCTTCTGGGGTGATGACAAAGTTTTGAAACTAAAGATAGCTGGTGGGTACACCACACTGTGCATGCACTAAATGCCACTGAATTGTACATTTTAAAGTGGTTCGCTGTATGTTATGTGAATTTCACCACAATGAACATTTAAGAAGAACAAGCAATACAGACTCTGCCTGGAGTTGAGGCAACCACCTTGAATCATGAGACAACAAGCTTGAGACAGAAGTGGACATGCTGAGGTCCATAGGGTTGAAGGAAGAAAGGGCCTGGCCTCAATAATGCCCCTGGTTCCACCAACCCTTTAGAATAACTGTGAGACTTGTTTGTGAGATGATTTCCTAATCCATCACTGTTAGATGGATTTTGTTACCAGGATCCGAATACATGTTAATGGATAGAGAAGATGAAGGAAAGGAACGTCTTTCTTTAGGTTTGGGGTTTGTCCAACTACATGATAGTGCTGTCATTCAGAGATGAGGAACAATGGAGAAGGGCAGGACGTGGGGTGAGAATCATGAGCTCAATTTTGACCATTTAAATCAGAAGTGTCTTTGAGTTAGCCAAGAGTTCCTAGTTAGTGAAAAAGGAGAATTATAATTAGAACCTGCGGCAGAAAGTTGTTGTGAAGATTAAACGTAAGGTTCTTTTTTTTTAAAAGATTTATTATTTTAGAGAGAGAACGAAAGATCGTGCGCATGGCGGGGGGGGGCAGAGGGAGAGAGGGAGAGAATCTCAAGCAGACTCCCTGATGAGTGTGGAGCCCGACATGGGGCTCAATCTCATGACCCTGAGGTCATGACCTAAGTCAAAATCAAGAGTCAGGTGCTCAACCCCGACTGAGCCACCTGGGCGCCCTTATACAGCGAGCACTCAGTAATTGCCAACAATTATTATTATTGTCATTATTATCACTATTTTTTTAAAAAAACATATCAATCTACCATAGCTTGGAAGAGTTCAAGATCCAAAGACTTTCTGGTTTTGCCAACATACCGAACATTTGAATCCTTGATGGAAGGGATTTTTTCCTCAACTTACAAACATGTCCTGTAAATTATCCACCTGTTCCTTTATCTATTCCTTTCACATGTACTAAGTATCTGCTATGTGCCAGGCATTGTGCAGGAGCTCCATGTGGAGACAAGTAAACATCATTACAACTGTGAATGCCAAGGGCTATGAAGTGTTTGGAATCCATGTAAGGCAATGTCGGAAAGGTATGTAATCCGCGTGGAAAAGGGTGGCAGGCTCAGGCAGTGCTGACTCGGGGGCGGGGGGGGAATGGCATTATCTATTACTCCATTTACTTCCTTCATTGCACTGGCCACAATCTGTTATTTGATTTACCCACTGGTAAATATGTTTATTATCTGAAAAATAAAAATAAGAAAACAGCATGACGACAAAGAACATTCTTTTCTTCTAGCCAGAGGCTGCCCGAGTGTATGGCACATGGCAAATACATGGTAAATATGTGCTGGATGAATGAAAATAGGTTAGTCCAAGGCAGCAGAGACTGCTGGTTGTCTACGCTAGATTCATTCTCCTCTTCTTCCTTAGCAGATGTTACAGTGACCTGAAAGGGAGGGGCAGAGCACAAAGGCCAATAAATAGAAGACAACAGACCGCAAGCTAGACAGGATGCTTGGCAGAGGTCGTTTGCTATGGATACTACTATGCTCAAACAAAAAAGAAGTCGGGCTTTTCAGGGGACTGTTTTGCCCATAAAATTCCAAACGTGGCCTCCCGACAATCCCAACAATTATTAATCTCATGTCACCAATAAGGGCTCTGAAGCACAGAGAGCCCCCAGGTGACACAGAACCACCATCTGAACCCACGCAGTGTCTAGCCTCCAAGGCTGCTCCTCTCAACCACCACACTATACGAAACTCTTCCCACTATGGGAGGGACAGGAAGGCAGGAGAACAGAGCCAGCTGCATTTCCAACGTACTGAGTTTAAAATAACTATAGATGTGGACCAGCTTCTTCTGTGACGATTAGAGCTGAAGGGAGCACCTAAGCCAGGAGCACCCAGACTGTAACACTACCATGATGTTAGTGCAATCGATGCTCCTGGTCTTGCAGATGCATAAATTATAAGGGTATATAGATATGTACGTATGTACGTATGGATAAACGTTCAAGTAAGAGGGATTCTAAAAATTCCAGTAAAAAAGGCACATAACAATACAATTAATACAAGTCTGTTTTAAGATTTTTTAAAAATAACTGTATAGGTCAAAAGGGTGGTGGGTTAATATTAGTTTTAACTTTAATAACAGTGACAAGCCTTTTTACAGAAACAACAGCCCCCAAAACACTTTGCGTATACATATATTCCTTACACTAGCTCTATGAAACAGAAATCATCCTTTACAGGTGAGAGGAAGGCCCAGAGAATTTAAACAATTTGTCTGAACAGATCGATAACCTGCAGTTATTTTAAGTTCTGTACTCTCTTCACTAAACATAATGCTTTCCTTATAACAACATGTATTAAGAGCAATTGATAAATTTTACAATTAAAAATAAAATTATATAAAAATATTTGTTCCCTTATCTTCAGAGGTATATTAACAGTTAAAAAAAAAGGGGGGGGGCATTACATCCTAGAGGTCAAAAGTAAAATGTGGACAGCTAGGAATTTCCTAGATGAATGTAAATTCCACTACACAAAGCCTATAAATATTAATTTTTTGCAAATTATATTTTTAAAGCAACACAAAATGTTTTTAATAGTAAGTGAAAAACTTTTTTCCTTGGAAAAAAATTCAAGAAAAAAACCAGCTGTGATTAAGAGTCATGGTTAAGCCAGTAGAGGTCAGTGTATTGGAGAAAAATGCATGCCCCTCCTGAAAAGCAGAGAAATTGCATTCACCCCACACAAAGCCCTGGGCTCACAGGACCCCGACAGAGCCACACACCTTGCACCGTCCACCTTACCAGGTCCTGTCTTTTTCTCCCCTACCTAACCCTCTCC